CCCCCCGCACATCCACATACCTCTGCTTCCAACCTCTCTCACCTCTCTTGGATCCTTCCACTCATTCTACAATAATGGTTTTATTTAATATTTATCCGTATGGGACTGAGTTAGTTCACTCAGTCTTATGCTTTCCAGTCCCTCCCAAGTTAGGTAATAATTTACAAAATCTTTGCTCCTCTGTGCTGCATAGTATTCCATCGTGTGAACATACCATAATTTCTCAATCCATTCATTTGTGTTTGGACATTTTGGCTGTTTCCATGTTCTTGTGAGGTGAATAATTGAGCCACAACTGAGATTTGTACATGAGATGTGTTGTTGGAGAGGAGTATTGAATAACTCGTGGATTGCCAAAGAATGAACAGTTGTCTTGGAGAAAGTGCAGCCAGAGTGCTCCTTAGAGGCAAGGATAGTGAAACTTCATCTCACATACTTTGAGCTTGTTGATAGGAGGAGATATTCTTTGGAAGAGAACATCATGCTTGGAAAGATCAGCAGAGTAGAGGAAGACCCTCAACGACAAGGATTGCCACAGTGACTGTAACAATGGGCTGAAGTATGTAAGAGATGAGGAGGATGGTGCAAGATAGAACAGGGTTCAGATCTGTTGTTTATAGAGTCTCTATGAGTCACACTTGACTAGACAATACATTACAATAGTAACATGCCTACCATTAATCAGGCCATGTCTACTCAATGAATTTCTCTTATTTTTGATCTAGTAAAGTTTCCATCCTGTGAACATACCAATCAATCCTGTCTCTATACTTTTGCTTGTGATAGTCTAGGTTTTCTGTACAGTATTTTTAATTTGTGAGTCATACTTCATCTGTGTGGTTTTTAACTAATTCACTCATCTATGTGATATTTACTACATATTTTTATGCATACATAACTTGTTTTTCCATTCTTCTCAATGTTAGCTATAACTTGTTATGATCCACACAGTCAGATGCCTTTGCATAGTCAGTAAACATAAATAGATATTATTCTGGTTTTCTTTTCTTTCAGCCAGTAACTTGTGGATTGTAACAAGTTATAGCTAACATTGGGAAGAATGAGAATGGCAGAGCATTTAGTTTTGCTCATTGCAAAAGACAGAAGAAGAAGAGAAGACCAAAATGGATGTCAGAAGAGACTCTGACAATTGCATTGGAGTGGCAGAGAAGCCAAAGCACAGGGAAGAATTCAAGATACCAAAGAGTTGAATAGAAGACTTCAAAAGGCAGCACGGGATGACAAAGTAAAATATTACAATGAAATGAGCGAGGAGTTGGAGTCAGAAAATCAAAAGGGCCGAACTTGCTCAGCTTTTCTTAAGCTCAAGGAACTGAAGAACAAATTCAAACCTCGAGTTGCTATAATCAAGGATGCTTTCGGCAGAATATTAAATGATCCAGGAAGTATTAAAAGAAGATGGAAAGAATATACTGAGTCATTGTATCGAAAGGAATTAGCAGACACAGAAGATTTTCATGAAACAACATATGAGCAAGAGCCTATGGTGATGAAAGAAGTAGTTTAGCTGCTTTGAAGGAAATGGCAAAAAATAAGGCCCCAGGAATAGATGGTATACCAGTTGACATATTTCAGCTAACAGATGCTGCCCTGGGTGTGCTCACCACATTGTGCCAAGAAATCTGGAGAACAACCACTTGGCCAGCTGACTGGAAGACATCTATATTTGTTCTCATCCCAAAGAAAGGAGACCCAACAGAGTGTGGAAACTATAGAACATTCTCATTGATTTCACATGCAAGCAAGATTCTACTGAAGATTATCCAAAAACGCCTGGAACAGCACATCAACAGAGAACTGCCAGAAGTTCAGGCTGGGTTTAGAAGGGGTTGTGGTACTAGGGATATTGTAGCTGATGTTAGATGAATCTTAGCTGAAAGCAGAGAATACCAGAGGAATGTCTGTGTTTCATTGACTGTACAAAGGCGTTTGACTGTGTGGATCATAACAAACTGTGGCTGACTCTGAGAAGAATGGGAATCCCAGAACACTTGATCATGCTAATGCGAAACCTATACTTGGAGCAGGAGGCAATCATCAGAACAGAGCAAGGGAACACTGCATGGTTCAAAATTGGAAAGGGCATACGCCAGGGATGTGTCCTATCTCCATACCTTTTCAACCTGTATGCAGAACAGCTCATCTGGGAGGCTGGGCTCTATGAGGAGAAATGTGGAGTCAAGATTGGTGGACGATCTATCAACAATCTGCGATATGCAGATAACACAACCCTGCTTGCTGAAACTGAGGAGGACCTGAAGCACCTGCTGCAGAGGGTCAAGGACTGCAGCCTCCAATATGGATTGAGGCTGTGTTAATCGGGATGGGAGTGTCAGAGACAGTGCAATTGGCACAGGACAGAGCAGAGTTTAGGGCTGTTGTACATAGGGTCCCTATGAGTCGCAAGCGACTTGACAGCACATAACAACAAAAACAACGTGTAAAACCTATTCGTAGACCAGGAGGCTGTTGTGCAAACAGAGCAAGGGAACACTACATGGTTTAAAAATAAGAAGTGATCGCGCCAGGATTGTATTTTCTCTCTGTACCTATTTAGTCTGTATGCTGAGCAAATTATTCTAGAAGCTGGGCTTTATTAAGAAGAATGTAGTATCAGGATTGGTGGGAGACCGATCAATATCTTGCGTTATGCAGATGATACGACCTTGCTTGCTAAAGTGAAGAGGACTTGAGACACTTGTTGGCAGAGGATTCAAGAATATGGCCTTTAATAATGGATTGTATCTCAATGTCAAGAAGACAAAAATTCTTAGCACTGGACCATTAGGCAACATCATGATAGATGGAGAAAAGATTAAAGCTGTCAGCAACTTCAGTGAACTTGGAACCATAGTCTACATCCTTGGTCCCAGGAGTTAGGAAATCAGTAGATGTATTGCACTGGGAAAGACTGCAGTTAGGGACCTCTCCAAATTATTGAGGAGTAATGATTTTAGTTTAAGGACTAAAGTGTGTCTGATTCAGGTGTTGCAATCTGCAACCCTTTTTCCTGGGAGAAATGAACATAAAGAGACAGACACAGAAGACAAGACAGGACTGCAGCAAAGAAACACACACTCACACACACAGGACAAGAACTGCACACCTCTAGGCTTGGCTCGTTTATTATTTTATAATCATCCAAAAACAGTCTACCTGCAGGCACTCATGATTTGGGGGAAAACTTATTTACCAGAAACTAGACTTGTTTAGACTTGCTTACCACTAATATTCCCATGGAATCTTTCTTGCTTCCATATCTCTGTTTATCTGAAGGAATAAGACTATGCCCTGGAAAGAAGAATATTCTTGGACCTCGTATGCAAGTGCCCAAGGTCCCCAACTGTTTCCAGACTCAAGGACACATTCCTCTCCCACACCCCATCCAGATTGAAGAAAGCTGCCTTGAAAGTATTGGCAAAAAATAAGGCCCAGTAAACTGTGGGATGCCAGTTGATTTGTTTCAGTTAACAGATGCAGCCGTAGATGCCCTCACCAGTCTATGCCAGGAAATTTTGAGGACAGTTATATGGCCAATGGATTGGAAGAGGTCTACATTTGTTCCTGTTTCCAAGAAGAGTGATTCAACTGAGTATAGAAATTTTTGACCAATATCATTATTATCACATGCTAGCAAAATACAGCTGAAGATCATTTAAAAAACAGCTGGAACAGTACATACATAGATAGGGAATTGCCAGAAGTTAAAGCAGGATTTTTTAGAAGAGGCCATGGCACCAGGGACATCATTGCTGATGTCAGATGGATGCTGGCTGAAAGTAAAGAATGCGAGAAGAAGGTCTGTTTGTGCTTTATTGACTATGCAAAGGTGTTTGACTGTGTGGATCATGACAAGCTGTGGCTGACACTGAGAAAAATGGGAATCCCAGAGCACTTGATTGTGCTCAGGAGGAACGTATACCTGGACCAGGAGGCTGTTGTGCGAATGGAGCAGGGAAGGACTGTATGGTTTGGAATTGGGAAAGGAGTGTGTCAGGGGTGTATTCTCTCTCATACCTGTTCAGCGTATAGACTTTATCTAAGATGCTGGACTCTATAAAGAGGATTATGGCATCAGGATTGGAAGGAGACATCAATAACCTGTGGTATGCAGATGACACAACCTTGCTTGCTGAAAGTGAGGAGCAAATGAAGAACTTGTTGCAGAAGATAAAGGAGTGCAATCTTCAGTATGGATTATGTCTCAGTATCAAGAAAACATTCCTACCACTGGACCAAGAGGCAGTGTAATGCTAGATGGAGAGGAGATTAAAACTGTGAACAGCTTCATCTTGCTTGGATCCACAGTTAACACCCTTGGGATGAGCAATCAGGAAATAAGGAGACACATTGTGATGGGAAAATCTGCAGTTAGGGACGATTCCAAATTATTGAGTAGTGATGTCAGTTTGAAATCTAAGGTGCGTCTGATTGAGGCCATGGTCTTTCCGATTACTAGCTATACACCTACCCCTACTTCTGCTAATTCCAACGCCAATCACATTGCTCTTCTCTGCTGTAGCGCCTAAAGTCTGTTATATGGCCACACATCTCAGAGAACCATACTGAGTTTTTATGAATTCTCGTGGTTTCAAGTAATTTACCTCACACTTAGTGCAGTGTCAATACAACCTTTTTCATGTTTCCACCCAGTCATGTGATAATAACTTTTAGCTTCTTAGTTTTACAAAATACTGTGCATTTATGAATCTGGAGCCATTGCAACTAATTTCACTACTGATACCAACTTAATGAATGATAATTAGTACAAGATTGGTTCCTATAAGGTGGATATCAACTGTGTTCTAGATGCCCAGAATGCTGTACCACACCATCATCTGACATTAATTATTCTTCCTCTTTTCAGTCCTCCCATTCTTATCTATGTCTGGATCTTATGATTCACTGTAAGGTCTCACAGAAATGGAAAAAATCTTTAGAGAATGACTTACATGACTGTGGATGATGTGTGTAGTTGAAAAGATTAATGAACAATAAACCAAGATCCTACATGCTGAGGTGATGAGCTGTTGCCTGTCAGCTGTCAAAAACAGCTAGATTAAGTTAGATTCATTGTCCCAAGTGAACAAGTGCTGGACTTCATGAAAATTCCTATCTATAAAATTTCAGGCCTGTAAGCCACATTTCTAGAATGAAGAGTAGAGATTTAGGTAATATCTTCTAGTAGGGTGGGACTTGCATCCCACCATGATCCTGTCTCCTAAAACAATAAATAATTTATCTTCTAAGGAGGTCTTAAGCATAAGCAAAGAAGATAGAATCACAGAATGGAAAGTTGTGAATGGAAGAGCCAGTCCACTTAATTCTTAGTACCACAACCTCTGTATTTCTAGTGCCAAGAATATTATCTCTCCTAAAGCAGGCATTTTGTAATCATCAAGCAAACAGTTCAAAATACTGAGCACTTGTTGACTATTATTACCAAGTTGCCTGTGCTAAAGATGCACAGAGCATGTTCGCTTGTAGGAAGCTCATTCCAAAGTACTTTGGATCTCTTATATAGTTGTTGCTGAGTACCATCAAATTGGAACCAGCCTATAGCTTACCACAGCAGATTTTCAGAGATTGTTAATCACATGGGAGGAGATTGCCAATTATTCTCCCTCAGAGCAGCTTGTGGATTCAAACTGCGTGCCTTTGGGATTGCAGGACAGTTTCTTACTAGGCCACTAGAGCTCCCTGCTCTTACATTGTTGTGAACCACAGAATTCAGACAGACCCTCACTAACTCTTTGACAGGTTTTCAGAGACAGTTCGTCACATGGGAGGAGATTGTCCAGCCTATGGAGCAGCTGGTGACCTGGAAAGTCATGCTTAGGGGTTGCAGTGCAGCTTCTTGCCAGTAGAGGTCTTTGTAGATTGTTTGTTGTTCTGGGCCATAGAACTGCCTGCAACTCATAGTGATCCCATAAAAACAGTTCTGAACCAATTTCATTGCTTCTGATACAGATACCCTCGTTACCCCACTCACTGAGTCAATCCATCTCATCCAAGGACTGGTCCCTCATGGCAACATCCCCAGAGTATGTCAGATGAAGTTTCAAAATCCTTGCCTCTAAGGAGCAGTCTGGTTTCACCCTCTCCAAGATGGACCTGTTCTCTTAGCAAGACATGGTATATTTTATTGCTCTTCTCCAGCACCACAGCTCAAGGGCATCATTTCTTCTTTCATTCTTAGTCATTGTCCAGCTCTTTAATGCATAGCAAATAATTGTGAAGGCCATGGCCTGTATCAGGTACACGTTAGTTTCTAGACTGACATCATTGCTCTTCAGTATTCTGGAGAGGTCCCTGACAGCAGATTTTCCTAATGCATTTTGTCTTTTGAAGTCTTTGTTGCTGGTACCAAATGATTACAAGGCTCTGTGGAAAACCAGGTATTGCCAGAATAGCTTAGAAGGAGAGTGCAATTCAAGAGAACCATGCCTTAGAATTGATTAAAAGATTCCTGGTAAACAGTTGTGTGTAAAGGCATGGAGACTGTCTATTTTTAACCAGTATTATCTCTCTTTTTTAAGCCATTTAAAGTTCTGGCAACTGACACCATAAATCACAAGGCATTAGATGCAGATATTTACAGTGCTATTCCAACAGAAAAAGTGGATGGGACATGTTGTTATGTCACTACATACAAAGGTAAAAGAAAATTATGTTTTATTCTAAAACTATATTTATGTTTCACTGTAAATGTTATTTTTGTTTTTTGCCCAAATCATAATACATCTGAAATGAGCCATTTTTTTTCTTTGTAAACACTTAGATAAAAGCTACTTAGTAAAATGTGGAGTAAAATGTGGAGTCAGAATTGTTATATTTTTATAAAAGTTATGTATCGTATCTTTTCTTTTGGAGAAGAAAGGAACATAACATATTTAAGGTCATGGCACTATGATAAATGCTTTATACATCTTATCTCTAACTTTTTACTGTAAACTTCCTTTCTTGGTTGAGGAAATCAAGGCTCACAGAACTTAATTTTTTTACACAAGATAGCATTAAGAGGTAGCTGAACTGAGCAAACAACCTAGATTTGTCCAACTCTAATATCCTCTTTCCACTGAGATCATTGCAGTACTAGCCCCCTGGTAGTGTCTTAGGTTTAATTTTTATAGACTTAAAAACAGTCATTGAAAGCAGAGGTTTATTTTGTGTTTACTTATGGTTGGTGAGATTACATATCCATAATAGAACAGTCAAATGGGAATCCATTGCCTAATGAAAACAGACGTATTCTTGTTATCAGGAAATCTCTTCTGAATGTATTTTTTTTGTTTTTGTTTTTTAAAGTTTGAGTATTAAAAAAGGTTCATTTAACCAGAAATAATAATAGGTCTATCTAGGGAGCTAAAGTAAAACAATTTTTAATTCTAATTTAGATAATAATAATAAGCAACAATTGCATAATTTTGTATAACTTTGCATACTGTTGGCTGATAAACAGGGTAAAACTGCTAAAGAAGACTCCTTAATTTTGAGATGGCAATGTTAACAAATACATAATTAATTAAGACAAAAGATAGTGTATCAAGGGCATTAAAGGTAAGACTTCCCCTTTTACAGCAACAGGTCAGGAGAGGCCGGGAGGTGCAAGTCCCTTGTGTCTTCCCTGTGTAAACTCTAGACAGGATGCTGTGTCTTAAATCATGAGCCACTGGTGTGTGCAGGGACTGAGTCCAAAATAGGGTCTGAGCTAGGGGTTTTTATTTTGCTGATCATGTAGACATAGTCTCTGCTAAGTTACTAGCTTATGTAGCAGACTGGTCCTAGGGCTCAACAACTCATTGCCAGCGAGTAAAACCAACCCACCAGAGGCTATAAGTCGCATAGAAGATTGCCCATCTGTGTAGCAGCTGGTGGGTTTAAACTGTTTTTTAGTTGGGGTGCAAATCCTTACCCATTAGGCTACCAGAAGGGGAGAAAAACACATCAATGATTTACTTTCTCCTTATTAATATTTAACCTAAAAATAAGTCTTACAAAGTAAAGTACCACTAGATTGGATATAACACCACCTCTGTTAAAGTAGATGATTCTTACTTATTTAAAGAGAAATGCTAATCTAAAATGGGTTTTCTTGACAGAATTTTTTTCTTTTTTCATAAAAAATGTTACTTTTTTAGGTCAGCCATACCTTTGGGCTCGGCTAGATAGAAAACCCAACAAACAAGCAGAGAAAAGATTTAAAAAATTCCTACATTCAAAAGAAAATTCAAAAGGTAAGTGTCTATTTTCCCTTCTTTTTCATTATTTAAATAGCTGACATACATTTTATTGTTTGGTGTAATTTAAATACTTTAGGAAAAAAGAAAATTATACTCGAATATTTTTATATATGAAATTTCTTGAAGCTTTATATTTTTCTAATATTTTACAGTCCGTTTTATTAAACTAAGAGAAATTGATACATATGATGCCACATTTTTCATATCCAAAGAAAATATGGAACAAAAATCATGATAACAATTAATATTTTTATGAATACCTTAAAAATACTTATAAGTACTGTATATGAAAGGAATATACTGAGTCATTATATAGAAAGGAATTGGCAGATACAGAGGAATTTAAAGAAATAACATATGAGCAAGAGCCTATGGTGATGAAGGAAGAAGTTCAAGCTGCTTTGAAGGAAATAGCAAAAAATAAGGCCCCAGGAATAGATGGTATACCAATTGAAGTATTTCAGATAACAGATGCTGCCCTGGATGTGCTCACCAAGTTGTGCCAAGAAATCTGGAGAACAACCACTTGGCCAACTGACTGGAAGAGATCTATATTTGTTCCCATTCCAAAGAAAGGTGACCCAACTGAGTGTGGAAACTACAGAACAGTGTCATTGATTTCACATGCAAGCAAGATTCTGCTGAAGATCATCCAAAAACAATTAGAACAGCACATCAGCAGAGAACTGCCGGAAGTCCAGGCTGGGTTTAGAAGGGGTCGTGGTACTAGGGATATTGTTGCTGATGTTAGATGGATCTTGGCTGAAAGCAGAGAATACCAGAAGAATGTCTATCTGTGTTTCATTGATTATGCAAAGGCATTTGACTGTGTGGATCATAACAAACTGTGGCTGACTCTGAGAAGAATGGGAATCCCAGAACATTTAATTGTGCTAATGTGAAACCTATACTTGGACCAAGAGGCAGTAGTCAGAACAGAGCAGGGTAACACTGCATGGTTCAAAATAGGGAAGGGTGTACGCCAGGGATGCATCCTGTCTCCATACCTTTTCAACATGTATGCAGAGCAGATTATCCGAGAGGCTGGGCTCTATGAGGAGAATTGTGGCATCAGGATTGGTGGAAGGTCTATTAACAAGCTCTGTTATGCAGATGACACAACCCTGCTTGCTGAAACTGAGGAGGACCTCATGCACTTGCTCCGAAGGATCAAGGACTGCAGCCTTCAGTATGGACTGAGGCTCAATGTCAAGAAGACAAAGATTCTCGCCACTGGACCAATTGGCTGCATCAGGATGGATGACGAAGAGATTGAGAGTGTTCACAGCTTCAGTTTGCTTGGCTCCACAGTCAACACTCTTGGTACCAGCAGTCAGGAGATCAAAAAGCGTATCGCGATGGGAAAGTCTGCTGTTAGGGACCTCTCAAAGGTACTCAGGAGCAACAGTGTCTCTCTGGAGACTAAGGTGCGCCTGATACAGGCCATGGTATTTGCAATCGCTTGTTATGCATCAGAGAGTTGGACAATGACTAGGGAGGACAGAAGGAGAGTGGATGCTTTTGAGCTGTGGTGCTGGAGAAGGGTACTGAATGTACCCTGGACTGCCAGGAAAACAAACAGATTTATCTTGGAGAGGATTAAACCAAGCTCCTCCTTGGAGGCAAGGATTCTGGGGCTTCGTCTGACATACTTTGGACATGTTGCCAGGAGGGACGGGTCCTTGGAGAGGGACATCATGCTTGGGAGGGTGGAGGGACAACGCAGGAGGGGAAGACCCTCTATGAGATGGATTGATTCAGTGACTGGGGTAATCGGGATGGGTGTGTCAGAGGCGGTGTGGTTGGCGCAGGATAGAGCAGGGCTTAGGGCTGTTGTGCATAGGGTCGCTATGAGTCGGAAACGACTCGACGGCACATAACAAGAACAACAACATATAGTTGATAGGTATATTCATTCAAGTCTCTTTACACTTATTTATGTATACATTTGTGTTAATATATACATTCTAGGATATTGACCAGGGAGCTTTGTTGGCCTAGTGGCAAGAAGCTACTCTCCAATCCCAAAGGCTTGTAATTTGAATCCCACAGGAGAAGGATGGGCAGTATCCTCCTGTGAGATTAACTGCTTCTGAAAGAAAAACCCATCGAAGGGTCAGCTATGGGTTGGTTCTGACTCAGTGGTACATAACAGGATGTTGGCTACTTTGGACAATATACATATACAATTGTTTAAAATGAAAAATATGACACATGGGTTCCTGAGTACAATGTTGTGTAATAAGGCATGAAGAGTTTTATGTTTGCTGATGTTAATGGAGTTTTATCACCTGTTACTTTAAATCTGCTTGATATTTAATTTTTTAAAAAAAAATTGCTACCACATAAGAGATAATCTTAATTCTTCTAGAATTTTTTTGGAATGTTGAGGAAGACTTCAGACCTGTTCCTGAGTGCTGGATACCCGCGAAGGAAATAGAACAGTTAAATGGGAAACCAGTCCCTGATGAAAATGGACACATACCTGGTATCATGACATTTCTACTGAAATGCAACTTTATTTACTAATATAAATTTTTAAATGGTTTATTAAATGAGAAATTATAGAATATAATTTTACTCTGATTCTTCATCTTGTTTATTTGTTATTAGCAGATAGATAATGTAGAATTTTTAAACCAAATTTACCAGAAGTCTAGTTATTTTTCCAAAGGTGTTTCATATGAAGAATGTTATCTCAATCTTAGAATCTTCTTTAGGGCTGTTGTACATAGGGTCGCTATGAGTCGCAAATGACTCCATGGCACATAACAATAACATGATATATGATAATTAATAAAGAATTGAATGGGAATAGCTTTAATGTTCCAGGTAGAATAGGTGTCAGAGGGCATAGTTAGTAGGGAGTTACACTGCTTACCCAAAGCTAGTGTGTCTCTTGTGATGTGGGAGAAAGATGGGCAATCACCTCCCTTGTTATTTACAGCCTCTGAAAGCCTGGTGTGGTGCTCCACTATGAATCCATTAGAAGTGAGGGTATTTTTCAGAGTAAGGAATATGTAGGGATTATTTGTTTTCTAAAAGGAGCTATGGTTGGTGCAGGGGTTAAGCACTTGGCTGCTGAGAGGTCAGTAGTTCGAACCCATTTGCTTGTTGTGTAAAGATTTAGTCATGGAAGTGTTAGGGGAAGTTAAGGCTGCCATGTGTTGGAATTGACTTGATTGCAGTGCGTTTGTTTTTTGATATATTTTCCGTGATCCCAGAAGAATATCTTAATGGAGTTAAAGCTTGTCTCTCACTATAATTTTTTGGCAAGAACCCTGATGGTGTATCAGGCTGCTAACTCAAGGGTTGGTAGTTGTTATTTTTTTTTAAGGGTTGGTAGTTTGAATCCACCAGTCACTCTGCAAGAAAAAGAACATCTGTAAAGATTTACAGCTTGGAAACCTGATGTTGTGTACTGTTAAGTCAGAACCAACTTCAGCATGTTTTCAGAGGCAATAGATTGCACATGAGATTGCCCATTTATCTCCTTCAGAGCACTTGGTGTATTCGTACAGACTGCCTTTGCGTTGACAAACTCTTTGTCAGTAACCCACCAGAACTCCCAGGAAATCTGGTAAGAGTCCTCCCTATTGGAATTGAATTGGGTAATTTTTCTGGAGGTGGGAGATTTTTAGTGCTGTATGCTGATGGGTAGAAAGGTATTCTAGATTTAATATCAGCTCAACAGGGATTTCTTCTTCTTTTGTGCAAAGCATTGTTTGAAGTTCTAGTGATACCAAAATGAAGGTCAGACTCCTTACCATTGATGGTGTTTTATGAATTAAGGAAAAAATGATGAATTGTGACTTATAGACTAAGAGGTAAGACTTTAAAACTACATGGTACAATGGGAAAGAAGAGTAGAAATTCCTAGTTCTGCTTGTGGTACTAGAGGATGTTTCTAGGAGTTGACATTTGTAGAGAAGTTTAAGAATCAGGAAATCATCTGGCAACTAAGAGGGAAGGTTAGCAAGATTAAGCAAACTTCAGGTAGAGAACATGGCGTATTTGAGAGATTTCAAACCTACTTGTGGCAGAAATATTCTAAAGGGCAAAGGACATATTGGGAATTTAAATTTTAAAAACTGAGGCTAGAGATAAATAACGGACTCAGACCTTAAAATGCCTTGTATTCCATTAAAGAAGTTAGAACTTCTTAAAACAATTAGAAGTTAATGATTTCATTAAGGAGGATATGCTAGAACTACCTATGTATTAGTAATAGAACCATGGTAAAAATGGGAGTGGATTTCACAGGACTAGCAAGAATTTAGTAGTCTGGGTCAGTAATGAAAACCAAACATTTACGAGTCACAGTGGTCTGTGATTGTCTTGTTTTATTTAGAATTTCCCCAGTGAATGAGCTTATTCTGACAATACTAAGAAAGAGAATAACATTAACATTCAGTTTGGAAAAAAAGCTAAATATGAGGCAACAAATTGTTCAGTAAATAGTGGAGATACTTGTTTGCCTTTGCCCATCTTCCTGAAAGAGGAAAGGCAGAAACTTGTTTTATGAAAAGTCCATGTATTAGAGTGGTGCTCAATTCTTACTAACGCAGAGTGTTTAAATTTTTTAGTAAGGGAGTACTAGGTACTCAAACTACAGGAATTACTTAACGTAATTACAAAACCCAAACCTTGGTGATTAACACGTTGCTGGAAATTACAGGTATAGCTGTCCTGCACATTTTAATTAATAAAAAAGGAACATCATTTGTACGAAGTGTATTAATGCATTTATTTGTTAATTATTTAGTAATACATTGAAAAAATGTGTTTCTAAGCACGGTCGTCAATTTAAAAGTGTGTGTTAACATGTTAAAGTTGTAGAACTGATCACTTTTCACTGTTTTGATAACTTTGTTGGAACTTCCAGAAAATGCTCAATTTACAAAAAAAAACAAAAAAAAACCCTACAAAACTGTAATCTGAAGTCAAAGAAGAAACAATAATAAAGCCATTTTTCTTTGAATGATAGGTTGGGTACCAGTAGAGAAAAACAGTAAACAGTATTGCTGGCATTCTTCAGTAGTGAATTATGAATTTGAAATTGCTCTGATATTGAAGCCTCATCCTGATGACCCAGGGCTCCTGGAAATTAGTGCAGTGCCACTAACAGATCTGTTAGAACAAACATTGGAGCTGATAGGAACAAATATCAATGGAAACCCTTATGGTAAGTAAAACCTTTTTCCATTTTGGCTATGAAACTTTTCATTTACAAAGACAGATAGCTAGGGTCAGTTAAAAAAAAAGAAGAAAAATATGCACACACATGTTAGGAAAGGAGTAACATTAATATTAAAGCCATTTCTTTTAATTTTTTATTAGAAGAATTTATGATTCTAACCATTTTGATTTACTAGTTTATTTTAGCCTCCCTTTTTTACCTGTAATATATTATGACAGAACTATATGTAATCTACCTTTTCATTCTTTTTTATAATCTGTCTAAACCAAGTTGACTGAAAATGTGCTTTTCATTGTTGTTGTTATGTGCCGTCGAGTCACTTGTGACTCATAGTGACCCTGTGTACAACAGCCCTAAACTCTGCTCTGTCTTGTGCCAATTGCACTATCTCTGACACTCCCATCCCAACTACCC